TAGACCGCATTGATTCCTCTTCTTCTGCCTATGCTTCTTCTGAATCCCCTCACTCTGTCGACATGCGTATGACCCTCTTTGGCAAAGGTTCCTTGAAGGTCCTTTTGTTGCACGGTAACTTGGACATCTGGATCTATCATGCCAAAAATCTCCCTAACATGGACATGTTCCATAAGACTCTCGGTGACGTTTTTGGAGGCCAGCTCAACAGGAAAATTACCAGTGATCCTTACGTTTCCGTATCTGTCGCTGGTGCTGTTATTGGAAGAACTTATGTTATGAGCAACAGCGAAAACCCTGTTTGGATGCAGCATTTTTATGTTCCCGTTGCTCATCATGCTGCTGAAGTTCATTTCGTTGTTAAAGACAGTGATGTTGTTGGTTCTCAGCTTATAGGTTTGGTTACAATCCCCGTCGAACAGATCTACTCTGGCGCCAAAATTGAAGGCACTTTTCCTATTCTCAGCAGCAACGGCAAGCCTTGTAAACCTGGAGCTAATTTATCACTATCCATCCAGTATACTCCCATGGAGAAACTTAGTGTTTATCATCATGGTGTTGGGGCTGGTCCTGATTACCAGGGCGTGCCTAGCACTTATTTTCCTCTTAGAAAAGGCGGAACTGTGACCTTGTACCAAGATGCACATGTCCCTGAAGGCATGCTCCCTGGTATTAGACTAGACAATGGAATGTCTTACCAACATGGCAAGTGTTGGCATGATATGTTTGATGCCATACGCCAGGCCAGGCGTTTGATTTATATCACTGGTTGGTCAGTGTGGCACAAAGTTAGGCTGGTTCGGGATAAAGTAGGTCCCGCCTCAGCATGTACTCTTGGTGAGCTCCTAAGATCAAAGTCCCAAGAAGGTGTTAGAGTCCTGCTACTAGTTTGGGATGATCCAACTTCACGTAGCATCTTGGGTTATAAAACAGTAAGTTACCACTTCTTCTCTGTTTTCTTCTTCTTCTTCTTCTTCTTCTTCTTCTTCTTCTTTATTTTCTGATAACTTATTTATTACATATCTAGTGTGTAGAAGTCTGACATATTTAGAATTTCGTTTATCTATGGCTCTGGTTTCTTGACGTTTCTTCCTTTTTTGTTATTAACAATTTTATTTGTAATCTTATACTGGAAAAGCTCTGTTCACGTAGTAACTACTCTTTATTTCGAGAGACATGCTTTGTCAAATATTTGGTGTATCATACTAGTTTTATCTTTTGACACATTTTGGTAACTATTCAGGATGGTGTTATGGCCACCCATGATGAGGAGACACGCCGTTTCTTCAAGCACTCCTCAGTTCAAGTCCTGCTCTGCCCTCGTAATGCTGGAAAGCGGCATAGTTGGGTCAAGCAGAGGGTAAGAGTTTCACTTTTTTTTTTTTTTTTTGTTAAGCTACGTACCAGCTTCTAATTAAACTTTACTCTATCAGGAAGTTGGGACGATCTATACACACCACCAGAAAAACGTAATAGTGGATGCAGATGCTGGTGGTAACAGAAGGAAAATTGTAGCTTTCGTTGGTGGGCTTGATCTGTGTGACGGCCGATATGACACTCCTCAACATCCATTGTTTAGGACACTACAAACAGTTCATAAGGATGATTTTCACAACCCCACCTTTACGGTACAGTTTGTTATTATCTTCTTTCTTTGGAATATCGCGTAGCTTTCTTGACAGTTACGTAGTAAGCGATTACCTTGAATGATGGCTAGGAGCAAAGTCCGTTCTTTTTGTTCCCCTGAAATTATCATATATAACCAGATAGCTAGTTTGAGTTCCAAAAAAAAAAAAAAAACAGAGCTAGTTTATGATTCTTTACAAGAGGACATGTCTTCCTAACCTTCTCCAAATCCTTTTCTTGAGCTCTTCACATTCTTGCATAGCTCCCTTCTGGTGGATTTTGTTATTTGTAAACATCAAAATTTATTGAGCTGGAAGATTGATAAACATCTGGTACCCAATGTTTTTATTGTGGTGGGGATAACCTTAATTTTTTGTATTGAAAACTGTCATCATCTCATCAGGGAAACCTTTCTGGATGTCCAAGAGAACCGTGGCATGACTTGCACAGTAAGATTGATGGCCCAGCTGCGTATGATGTGCTAACCAACTTCGAGGAGAGGTGGCTGAAGGCTGCCAAGCCTAGCGGGATCAAGAAGTTTAAGACTTCCTATGATGATGCGTTGTTGAGGATCGATAGGATTCCAGATATAGTAGGAGTTTATGACACCCCTACTATTAGCGAGAATGATCCTGAGGCTTGGCATGTTCAGGTAAGAATATCAAAACTGATACTGTCTAGAAAAGAAGACCTGAGAGGCTGAGTATTTTAATGAAACCATGATTTACAGTCTTCAGCATTGCACTGTGAGTTAGAGATAAATAGAAAGAGTTGATGAACCTTGGCATTTACGTGAAACCAACCAATATGTGTCTGCTATCTTGATTGAGCATATGCTAATTAGTGACTAGACTAGCAACATAACGTCTGACATCAGTTTCCTTGTAGCTATTTCTTCTCTTTATATGTAGCTATCGATATGAATGGGTCTTTCAGGATTACCTTTATATAGTGGTTTCATTGAGACTATCATGTGAAATAAGTGACACTATCATACATATTTTGAAATTTGGTCAAAAGAAATTGTCCCGGAAAACTATTTTTTGTATGTTGGTAAAATACAGTCGTGGTTCATATTACGTAGGCTAAGCTGATGTTTTTTTTCTGGTTTGATTCAGATTTTCCGTTCAATCGATTCAAACTCTGTAAAAGGTTTCCCAAAGGATCCAAAAGATGCTACATGCAAGGTGACTTTGAAAATCTTTAGGTATTGTGCTTGGATGTCTAAATTTTGCGAAAAATTAATCCATGAAGAGCTTTTGTTTTGTGTAGAACTTGGTGTGTGGGAAGAACGTACTCATTGATATGAGCATACACACAGCGTATGTCAAGGCCATTCGTGCAGCTCAGCACTTTATATATATTGAGAATCAGTATTTCATCGGGTCTTCCTACAACTGGAATGCGCACAAGGACATAGGTTCAGTTACATATCTCTGCTTGTTTATTTCAAGAATACAAGAAACCTGAGTTTTTCTTTTCTTACAATTATGATGTCATCATCCTAGGATAGGCGTCACACGTTTTTGTCTGTGTACTTTAAATTGTGTCACGTGGGTACCACATCTACGAAATTGTTATTGGCTACCATCTATTCTTAACTTTGTACAATTTTTTAGCTTACTTTATTGTTTGCGTCAGTCTTTGATTTTTCTTGATGATATTTTTTTTTTTTTTGTGTGAGTTGCATCGGCTCTCAAGGTTGCTATACAATGTTTTTGTGTAGGTGCTAATAATTTGATTCCTATGGAAATTGCGTTGAAGATAGCTGAAAAGATTAGGGCAAATGAACGGTTTGCTGCATATATAGTCATTCCAATGTGGCCAGAAGGTGTTCCAACTGGTGCTGCTACCCAGAGAATTCTCTACTGGCAGGTATTTTATTTCTGAGTAATTGCTGGTTGTCTAGAAATCACGGATCTAAGTAGAGAATATTGAAACTGAATGTCAATCGTTGCAGCATAAGACAATGCAGATGATGTATGAGACTATCTACAAGGCGTTAGTAGAAACCGGACTTGAGGGAGCATTCTCCCCACAAGATTACCTCAATTTCTTCTGTCTTGGCAATAGAGAAATGGTGGATGGAATCGATAACTCGGGAACAGGAAGTCCAAGCAACGCAAACACTCCTCAGGTAAACTGAATCAGAGTCTGCCATGTAAATTTGATCGATCATGTTGCTAAGACGATGATTCCTGATAATGGTGTATGGCAGGCATTGAGTCGGAAAAGCAGAAGATTCATGATCTATGTTCACTCAAAAGGGATGGTTGTAGATGATGAATACGTAGTAATTGGATCGGCAAATATAAACCAGCGATCAATGGAAGGCACAAGAGATACGGAGATTGCAATGGGAGCTTATCAGCCACAGCATACATGGGCTAGGAAACAATCTGGTCCAAGGGGTCAGGTACATGATCCCGATAATAAAACCACATAGAGTTGCGAGTTGATATTCCGTTTCAAGAGTTTGGATCATTGTGGTTTCTTTTTCTTTTTTTGGTTTGTGCAGATATATGGATACAGAATGTCGCTGTGGGCAGAGCATATGGCAACGTTAGATGACTGTTTCACGCAACCAGAGAGTATAGAATGTGTAAGGAAAGTGAGAACAATGGGGGAGAGAAACTGGGAACAGTTTGCAGCTGAAGAAGTCTCAGACATGAGAGGACATCTGTTAAAGTATCCAGTGGAAGTGGATCGGAAAGGCAAAGTCCGACCACTACCTGGGAGTGAGGCGTTCCCGGACGTGGGAGGTAACATTGTCGGATCCTTCATTGCCATACAGGAGAATCTAACCATTTGATATAGAAATACTGAACCCAGTGGTTGTGGGTATTTATTGATTGAGAGTTGAAAATTGGTTAATGAATTAACTAACTTTTACACATTGGGTGGGTGGGTATATAAAGAATAAAAATGATTCATGTTTGTGCTGTACAAACTGGTTAATGTAATTAGAAGTATCTTCCACCATGTTTGAGTTTCATCAATAAGGGGTACACACCTATACACTTGTTTTATTCTGTAGCCTATAATCACCACATTTATTTTGGTTAGATGAAATCACCCCTTCATTAAGCTATTGTTTTCTGACAGGAAAAAAAAACTCTATGCATTCTTATTTGACAACCAACATGAAACATAGGCATAAACTAGAAGCAAAATTGATGTGGTTATATAAGAAGATAAAAGAACAAATGAACCAAACCTACTAAAGCACTCCTCTAAATATAAACATATGCATACACATAGGTTCAAATTGCTTCTTTACTTGGGTCTTATGCTCAAATCAAGTTAATGCTAAACGGGCCAAAATGGGAGCTCATATTATAAAACAAGTCCGTCACGACAGCCCAAAGGAAACTAGCTAATTTGTGGTGTTGCTGCTGCTGCTGCTGTCTATCCGCCCGAAGTCCTCTCTTCTTCTCTAAGAACTTAGCTCCGCCCACAATTTCGGTATTTCTTCTATGAGTGGGTGTCGATGATGGGAACTTATAGCTGTAACGCCGCAGTGTTGAACTCCGCGTTCCCCTTTGTTATGGAAAGCCATAAACTTGACCTGAGTAGAAGAAGCCAATTATCTCGTGGTCGTTTTTGTTGCAAATGTAGGATGGTTGGCGTCAAGGAAGAAAGCCCCACTAAATTCGATTGGGTTGATATGAATCATCTTACAGAAGAACAAGAGGAGGCAATCTCTCGGATTCCTGTTAAGATGTCTAAACGTTGTCAAGCTCTTATGAAGCAGATAATTTGCTTCGAAAAGGAGGAGGAGGAGGGTAGCTTTTGCTGCGATTTGTTAGCTGCTTGGGTCAGGAGGATGAAACCCATTCGAGCTGACTGGCTTTCCCTCCTTAAAGAGCTCAGCAATCTCGAATCTCCCTTTTATATCAAGGTAAGGTGGTACTCCTCCATTTCCATTTCCCTCTGTTGTTTGTTTTTTTTTGGTCTGAATGTAAGAAAAAATTGCTTACTTTTACGTCTCCTTTTAGGTGGCTGAATTTGCGTTGCTCGAGGATTCCTTTGAAGCCAACCCCCGCGATTATACAAAGATCATCCATTACTATGGCAAGCTTAACCAAATTCAAGACGCTGAGAAAACTCTTGTTGCTATGAAAAATCGAGGCTTTCTCATCGATCAAGTCACCCTAACTGCCATGCTTCAGTCGTACAGCAAGGCAGGGTATCACCGCTTGGCTGAAGAGACTTTCAACGATATCAAATTGCTTGGGGAACCACTTGACTATCGATCCTACGGTTCCATGATTATGGCCTACATCAGAGCTGGCACTCCGGAGAAAGCAGAGGCTTTGCTCCGTGAAATGGACTCCCTAGATATCTGTGCCGGGAGAGAGGTTTACAAGGCCTTGTTGAGAGCCTACTCTATGTCTGGAGATGCTCAAGGATCCAAGCGTGTCTTTGATGCTCTTCAAATCGCCGGGATCACTCCTGATGCAAAGCTATGTGGACTCCTCATTAACGCTTACAGTGTCTCCGGTCAGAGCCAGAATGCGCGTTTGGCTTTTGAGAATATGAGAAAAGCCGGAATCAAAGCTACTGACAAGTGTGTGGCTCTTGTTCTGTCTGCCTATGAAATAGAAGAAAAGCTAAATGAAGCGTTAAGGTTCTTAGTTGAGCTTGAGAAGGACTCCATCATGGTTGGTAAAGAAGCTTCCGCTGTGTTGGCTGGGTGGTTTAAGAAGCTTGGTGTTGTTGAGCAAGTTGAGTTACTTCTCAGGGAATTTTCATCCCACCAAACACTCTGACTCAGGCTTAGGAGGAGATTGGGATTCACAATCTCATGTTTCTATCTATACTTATTATCTAATCCATTGTCCAATTTACACATGTTCTATTTATTGTCCGCAACTGCTTTCTAAAGACTGAGGAATCAATCACGTAGCCGTAAATAAAGCGGTTTCACTCATTTACTATCACATAACAAGAAACGAAGGTTACTGTAATTCCTCTGAACTAAAAAACCAACATATTTTGGCAAGAAGAAGAATATTCATCATTTTAAATAGGCGCCAAGAGTGTAGTCTGTCGAAATAAAACATCCAATCCAGCTTAGGAGAAAGACAATATTCATTTGTTTCATAAGTTAAAAACTTGAGAGAAGCAAAACAGAACACGAAGGGACAAGAAAAGAGTGAGAGGGTGGTGGTTGGTAATGCTAGTAGTTGTCTCCTCCTCCTTGTTCCTCATCATCGTGAAACTCTTTGAGAGCATTGAGAATCCGAGCTTCCATAGTCCTGACACGGGCAAGCAAGCGATTGCAAGATCGAAGGTAACCCTTAACCTTGTCCTTTTCGCATTGATCGACATAAACCTCCATATCCCTCAGAAGATCCATCAGCTCATCAACCACCTGCGAATACTCCATGACCCGACCCGGGTCTCTCTCCACCACCTCCTCCAATTCTCTCCTCGCCGTTTCTAGCCACTGGGCCGACAGGCGAATCCGGGCTTTCAAGGATTCGTAGTTACCATCGGCGTACACTTGAATCATTTTAAAGACAGTACCTGGCTTGGTTTTGTAAAAGTGGAGAGCTTTGACATGACCCGGCTTCTGCTGCAAAGGGATCTCTCTGATGCCACCTTCTTCCTCCAATTCGACATCCAAAGGAGGAGCGGTGATTATCGGAGGGTATCGGTGGAGACGACGAAGGAAGAACCAGGCGGAAGCAGCGACTGCCACGGTGGGAATGATCAAGTGGCCGCCGAATTGGGTTTGTAGTTTTTGTTTACTACTAGGAGGAGGAGGAGGAGGAGGAGAAGAAGGATCTGTGGGTGAAATGGATGGAGATGTGATGGCGAAGAGAGAAATAGGGTTTTGAAGGCTGGAGGAAGGTCTGTAATAATGGTGAAACGGGATGTTGTACTGACAATACGTCTTCACTACGCTTCCCATCTTCCACCACCAAAACCGTCTTTTCGACTAATTCAATTTACTGCCAACAACCCTATTTTCATCCTTCCGTTACCTCCAGAACCACCACAATGAATCTTCTTCTTCCAACTTCAACGGCGACTACCACTTTTCCTTTTTTTTTCCTTAATAAATCAAATACAAATACATAAGGGATTCCAATGTTTCCATATTTATGTGGGCTTCTTGGCTTGGCTCACTGACAATGATAAAGCCCATAATTAGCCCAGTCATTTTTTTTTTTATACGTTTTACGTTTTTGGTCATCAAGTGACAAATTGCTTTGTCTTCTCGCGACCACAAATCTTGTTTAATAGATAAAGGGGATTCGTATTATCACGGAATAAGTTGCTTCTCTCTTCGCTAATCTTCTCTGAATGTGCGAAGCATATACACATACAAAGTCAACATCTGCACCGACCTTAATTTTATACTCAAAATAGATATGTTTTCATTGATTCAATTATATGGTATGAGAAAACAAAGAATTCAAACCTTTTATTAGTGTTCAACTTTGGTTTGAAAATAAGAGAAAGAATGGAAAGTGAGGCCTCGCGTGTCCAATACTATAGTAGTAAGTACTAGTCGTATACTATTTGCAAGTGTCATTTCTTACATCACATGGCTTGGCCGTTTTCCACGTTGCTTATCATCCTTTCCTGCTCATTTGTTTTATTTTCCATATATTTCTCTTTATGGTTATATTATTGTTTGTTTTCACTCACGTCATGCATCAGATACGCCATGGAGAACCCAGCCTCCGCCTCCTACGTTCACAGCAACATCGCCGGCTTCATCAACCTCCTCCATTCCTCTAATCCTCAGCCTGCCATCGTCTGGGCTTCCTCTAGCTCTTTTTAGATGGTATCTTGGTTACTACGGAAAGAAAGTTGCCGCTTGATCTATTCTTTGCTCCCTTAATACTAGTGTTTACTCGCAATTTGATACACTTGAATCATCACACCCCCACATAAACACTCATTTTACATGTGTATATATTTATTTATAGATGCTACTAAAATTTTATATTAGTTTTACAATTTCAGATTATAAATTCAATTTAATATACTAATATGCTAATACTATATCATTGATGGATGAAGTTATTCATAAATACCTAAACTCCATATTTTTCTAATTTATTTTGAAATTTGTGGGTTAATTTTTCGATGCTATCTATAATATTTAATCTCTTTAGTGCTATTTTAAAATAACTAATCACACCCTAAATTTATATACATGTATGGTAAACTTATTTTCATGGTAGATGAGAATCATTTCTAATTTTTATTAAATAATTTATTTAAACTTCAGATACCACCTAATAAGTTGACTAATCCCTATAAAATCTCTACCTTTTTAGAGAAACGGAAACATCTAAGGTCTTAAACCTCTTTAATATTCATACTATGTCAGTGCACGAGGTAGCTATGCAATATAATAAAAATATCATATTTTCTTATTTATATTGAAATATGTGGGCTAAATCCTACGAAAATACTGAATTTTCTGATAAATGTTATCCATAATATTTAATCTCTCTAGTGTTATTTTAAAATAACTAATCACACCCTAAATTTACATATATGTATGGTAAAATTATGAGTGATTTAGTGAACAACCCCTATTTGAAGCTTAAATTAGCAAAATACCATTGATTGGACATAAAGGACACTGACACAACCATTTGGCAAGGAAATGCCGAGAATACCCTTTCTCTTTCCTCTCATTAACACGAAGCGTAAAAACATTTGTTAAAATATAACACTTCTGTTAACGTCTACAATATTTGTTAACAGCCAACACATTTATTACCGTGAAGCGTAAAAAGAATTGTTAACATTTAACACTTTTGTTAACGTCTACAATATTTGTTAACAGCGAACATATTTATTAACGCGAAGCGTAAAAATAATTGTTAACAACTAACACTTCTGTTAACGTCTACAATATTTGTTAACCGCTAACACGACGTCGAATCTAAAACCCAGAAATTGATATCATCAAAAAATGGAGGATTCAAAGCCACTTATGAAAAAAATAATGAAATTTAAAATATAATTGTATGTACTTCTCTAATATCAACACCAAATATGGGTACTTCTCTAACGTCTATAATATTTGTTAACAACCAACACATTTAAAAATTATATATTTTTAATAGAGGTGTTATGTATTAACTATTATTTAAGAATCAAAGTGAACTCAAAAATATTTAACATATTTATTTTGCATGTAATTCATTTTGAAAATGATAAGAGGAGAGAAATGATAAAAAAAAAAGTGACACACCCACATATAAATGCAGGAAGGAAGGAGAGAGAGAGAAAGAAGGGCAATTTGGTCACACAAAATAAATATGTCCCATCATGGGCAAGTGACTAATATACACCCCCATTTGGGGTGTATCGGCCAATTAACTCTAAAATTATTTTCATGGTAGATGGACATTTTTTTTTTAATTTTTATTAAGTAATTTATTAAAACTTCATATACCACTTAATAAGTGGACTGAACCCTATAAAATCTCTATTTTTTAGAGAAACGGAGACATCTAGGATCTTAAACCTCTTTAATATTCATACTATATCATTGCATGATGCAGCTATGCAATAAAACGTAAATATCATATTTTGTTATTTATCTTGAAATATGTGGGTTAACCCCTACGAAAATACTGAATTTTCTCATAAATGCTATCTATAATATATAGTCTCTTTAGTGATATTTTAAAATAACAAATCACACCCTAAATTTATATATATGTATGGTTAACTTATTTTCATAGGGGTTGGTCCAGTTATTAAGTAGTATGTGAAGTTTAAATAAATTACTTAATAAATTACCATGAAAATAATTTAACCATACATATATATAAATTTAGGGTCTGATTAATTATTTTAAAATAAGACTAAATAGATTAAATATTATGGATAGCATTTACTAGAAAATTCAGTATTTTCTTAAGCGTTAGCCCACATATTTCAATATAAATAAGAAAATATGATATTTTTGTTTTTTTTGCATAGCTGCATCATGCACTGACATAGTATGAATATTAAAGAGGTTTAAAACCTTAGATGTATCCGTTTCTCTGAAAAATAGAGATTTTATAGGGGTTATTCCACTTATTAAGTGGTATATGAAGTTTAAATAAATTACTTAATAAAAATTAAAAACGATGTCGATCTACCATGAAAAGAAGTTTACCATACATATATATAAATTTAGGGTGTGATTATTTATTTTTAAATAACACTAAAAAGATTAAATATTAGAGATAGCATTTATCAGAAAATTAAGTATTTTCGTAGGGGTTAGGCCACATATTTCCTTATAAATAAGAAAATATGATATTTTTTTTATATTATAGCTGCATCATGCACTGACATAGTATGAATATTAAAGAGGTTTAAAACCTTAGATGTTTCAGTTTCTCTAAAAATAGAGATTTTATAAGGGTTAGTTCACTTATTAAGTGGTATATGAAGTTTAAATATATTACTTATTGAAACATTATAAATGATGCCCATCTACCATGAAATTAAGTTTACCATACATATATATAAATTTAGAGTGTGATTAGTTATTTTTAAAAACACTAAAGAGATTAAATATTATAGATAGCATTTATCAGAAAATTTAGTATTTCCGTATGGGTTAGCCCACATATTTCAATATAAATAAGAAAATATGATATTTTTGTTTTATTGCATAGCTACATCGTGAACTGACATAGTATGAATATTAAAGAGGTTTAGACCCTAGATGTTTCCGTTTCTCAACAAAATAGAGATTTTATAGGGGTTAGTTCACTTATTAGGTGGTATATGAAGTTTAAGTAAATTACTTAATAAAAATTAGAAAGGATTTCCATCTATCATGATAATAAGTTTACCATACATGTATATATATAGGGTGTGATTAGTTATTTTAAAATAGCACTAAAGAGATTAAATATTATAGATATCATTTATCAGAAAATTCAGTATTTTCGTAGGGGTTAGCCCACATATTTCAATATAAATAAGAAAATATGAAATTTTTGTTTTATTGCATAGCTACATCAAGCACTGACATAGTAACTTATGAAAGAGGTTTAAGACTTTAGAAGTTTCTGTTTCTCTAAGAAATAAAGATTTTAAAGGGGTTAGTCCACTTATTAGGTGGTATCTTAAGTTTATATAAATTTCTTGATAAAACTTAGAAATGATTCCTATCTACCATGAAAATAAGTTTACCATACATATAAATAAATATAGGGTGTGATTAGTTATTTTAAAATAGCACTAAAGAGATTAAATATTATAGATAGCATTTATCAGAAAATTCAGTATTTTCGTAGGGGTTAGCCCACATATTTCAAGAAAAATAAGAAAATATGAATTTTTTTTTTTTATTGCATAGCTACATCATGAACTGATATAGTATGAATATTAAAGAGGTTTAAGACCTTAGATGTTTCAATTTCTTTAGAAAATGTAGATTTTATAAGGGTTATTCCACTTATTAGGTGTTATATGAAGTTTAAGTAAATTACTTAATAACAAATTAGAAATGATGCCCATCAACCATGAAAATAAGTTTACCATACATATAAATAAGTTTATGGTGTGATTAGTTATTTGTAAATAACACTAAAGAGATTAAATATTATAGATAACATTTATCAGAAAATTCAGTATTTTTGTAGGGGTTAGCCCACATATTTCAAGAAAAATAAGAAAATATGAAATTTTTGTTTTATTGCATAGATACATCATGAAATGATATAGTATGAATATTAAAGAGGTTTAAGACCTTAGATGTTTCCATTTCTTTAGAAAATGTAGATTTTATAGGGGTTATTCCACTTATTAGGTGTTATATGAAGTTTAAGTAAATTACTTAATAAAAATTAGAAATGATGCCCATCAACCATGAAAATAAGTTTACCATACATATAAATAAGTTTATGGTGCGATTA